ACTCATTCTATGAGTAAATAAAGCTGAGCTGAACAGCTGAAGGCCTAAAGGTGCTCTGCAGATTTAAAAAAATTGACCAGGGCAACGTTTAGTGTAACACCTGTTCTGCTGTAGTTCCTGAGAAACATGAAAAGTATAATCTATATGTGAGGTCTATACTGATGTTTTAATAAATTAATGTTTTTAATTAGATACAATAATGTTTATACCATAGAAATTAATTGTTGAATGTGAAAACATGTTTCATGATTGTTTTACTCACATGACTTTTTACACACCTTGTAGATGAGGTGAGATCACATGTGACTATGGAGAAAGTCTTAAACTTAAAGACTTAAACTCAGATTTGTAAAATAAAGGTATTTATCCTCAAATTACTGTCAAAGGCGTTTTTGAGCTGTAAGTCATGAATGTAATCTTCAGTGTTACAAATGAAGTGATATATGATGTACTTAAGTTGAATGAAAATGTTTAGCCAGCTAAAGAAATGGTGCATAAAGGTCTTGGATTAAACATCTGATATACACACACACACACACACACACACACACACACATACATACACCCATACACAGTTTGGTTGATACTCGTAACTCACTGATCTGCGTATTCCAGCACATTATGGAAGTTATTATATACTGAGCAGGTGATCATTCTTAGGATAGGTTATTTTGTCTCAGCTCCTTAGTTGATGCTGTGCAGGCCATGGAGTCACCTGGTAGCCTGTAGTGCTTGTGCTAACAGGCTAAACATTTAAGTAGTACAAAAGAAACTTTAGAAGCACAAAGGGAGAACAAAATTATTCAAAAATAAACTGGCTTTACAAAATAATAACTGTAGACGTTCACACACCGGACACTTCATTAAGTCCACTTACTTGTATCTACACTCTGTCCACTTTATCAGCTCCACTGACCACATAGTTTTACTCTCTACCTCTACAGAGCAGACTGTAGTCCATCTGTTTCTCTGCATACTTTGTTACCCTGTTCTTCAGTGGTCAGGACCCCCATGGACCCTCACAGAGCAGGTACTATGTGGATGGTGGATCATTCTCAGCACTGCAGTAACACTGATGTGGTGGTGGTGTGTTAGTGTGTGTCGCGCTGGTCTGAGTGGATCAGACACAGCAGTGCTGCTGGAGTTTTTAAACACCTCAGTGTCACTGCTGGACTGAGAATAGTCCACCAACCAAAAACATCCAGACCAAAGCGTTCTGTGGGCAGCATCCTGTGACCACTGATGAAGGACTAGAGGATGACCAACACAAACTGTGCAGCAGCAGATGAGCTATCGTCTCTGACTTTACATCTACAAGGTGGACTGACAAGATAGGAGCGTCTAATAGAGTGGACAGTGAGTGGACACAGTGTTTAAAAACTCCTGCAGCACTGCTGTGTCTGATCCACTAGAACCAGCACAACACACACTAACACACCACCACCCCGTCAGTGTCACTGACCCACCACCCAAATAATACCTGCTCTGTGGGGGTCCTGACCATTGAAGAACTGGCTAATTCTAGAAAAGTCTGTAATCAGTCTTACCATATTCTACAGAGTGCACCTATATGGTAAGATGAGCTGATAAAATGGACAGCGAGTGTAGATACAAGGAGAAGGGCTTAATGAAGTGGTCAGTCAGTGTACATGTGGTATAAGACATATGAAAATATAAGTTTAAACCAATTCAAAGGACAAAAAGTCTGTGAAGCACTAGATGAGCCAGCACTGGAGTTTGGCAGTGCAGCATTATATGTTGCGGAGGACTCTGTGTTTTGTACACAGGGCCTTTTAGCAAACCTCTGATAGCAAAGTAAAGGGTGACCCGTTTAGTCAATATCTAGTTAATATTTAACTAGTACTCAGTATTAACTAGTTCTGTGCTTGTCTGAGAAATTAGTGCCTAGAGAAGGTTATTCAGCAATGTTTGAATGTCATCTCACTCGGTGTCTGTATTTACATTCAAGGTACAAAGATATTTGCCAAATTGATTGAACACATTCTGATTATATATTAAGACTGAGGTGGTTATTCTCACTCTACTCAACACTCCTTACACATGCTCAGTACAAGTAATCCGATCCAAACTTAGTATAGACATTACCATGGCAACCAGCGTGAGTCCAGTCAGAGTGAGATGAGCAGCAGTGAGCAGCGCTTGTGTTTTTAATTACTTTAAAATGATGTCAGACTCAGGAAAACGTCCTTATTAAAGAAGGCCGAGAGGAAGACGTTGTGTTCTGAGACACATAAGCTGGACGTCCGTCCCACTGCCATCTTTTAAAGATCAGAGCATAAACTTCGTCTCCTCTGCAGACCAGTTTCTGCTCCGCCATGTTGAACGCTATAAACTCTCACTATGACACGACGCACAAGCAGAACAGACTTAAACTTTCCGATAGGGAATGTAATCAGATACAGGCGTTTACACAGATATTATTCTACTATTTAATGGATTATTTACAGGATTACCCACCTCCTTCAATCGGATAGAAACTGTATTCGGAATGGTCTCAATTAGTCTATTCCGATTGAGGTGTTTACGTGGATGCATTGTATTCTAAATGAGCTAGGAGTTAATTATTAACATTATTAGGCTGCAAATTAATGTGGCTAGTTTTCAATTTGGCAAACAGTCAACTGGTCTAAATGAGTGAATAATGATATGTGCATGAATGCTTGGTTAACCGTCTGAGGTACCAGTTTCTGAACACGGAAAATCACTTTTTGACTACATACGTCTCATTACAGGAAGATGAAGAAAACATACAGGACAACAATTCAATGACTGTGATTGTGATTTAACGTGACTGTTTACTTGGAATAGTGAGCTTTATAGAGTGTTAAACTTTGCTGCTCTGAAACAAGTGCATTAATGTGTGTTGCTAACTAGGTTAACTACTCTAGCTGATCATTCCAGAAACAATGAAAAGATATTTCTCTGACAAGCTGACTGTTTTTCACATCATCCACTGAGGGGAAAAAAACAACTTTACAGAAGATGAGGAGGCCTCATCAGTATCCAGTATACTGGTCAGCTGTGATGTTAACTCATTAGTTAATATGAAGAGGCAGCCTCTGATACTTTGCAACACAAAAACTTTCAGTTTTTTTTTTTTTGGCTGTTTATGAGTAATAAAAATACAAGTGTTATTTTGTGTGCTGTAAGATTTTGTGCTCCATATTTTTTGAGAATCCTAACTCCAGAACTGTCACCTAATAAGTAAGCATACAGTCCTACATTAATTTTAGCCAATGTTCTTTTTTTAATTTTTAGTCTATTATTGTGTTTTCCTTCTCTGTGGTTAACAGAGTGTCTGTTCATTAACTGTTACAGATTTTCACATATCAAATTAGACAGAATACATATTCCTAATACATGCACTTGTTCAGTTTTCTGGAAGTATTGAATGAAAAACATACTGTGACATAATTTATCACTGTAACATTGTATCACCCAGCCCTTACACACATTGTGTTCCAGCAACACACACAACCATTTCAGTGTCTCGGCTGTGCTGAGAATGATCGGTTATGGTGATCAATCTATGAATAATCATCTATAATGAATGACCAATCTATGGTGGTCCCTTTTCACGGTTCACTGTTTATTATATCGCTTCTTGTGTAACAATTATTTTATGGTGTAAACTACTGGCTACAAGAGAGAATGACGTTCATTAAATATTCCAGCCAACTTATCATTGATGCTGGCCTCACACCAAATGACTAAGCCACTATCACAGACAAATTTTCAGTGTATAAAATCATTAGAGTCTTGTTAGAGTGTGAGGTGGTCCTTGAGAGCGAGCGGACGAGCTCATGCATGCAGTGTCTATATATAGACAGCATTACTGAAGAAGCATCAATGTTTTTTCCATTTTTTCACCCTGTTACAGTGGTTTCTTATTTTGTTTATTAGTTTTTTATGGTTTAGCTCATAACACCCAGTCAACAATGCTGAATCACTGCATGTTGTGTTGATGCATAAATCTTTGTTAAATAAAAAAAAGTACCTGCACATTTTACAGGTAAATAAAAAAAATTCTGGGTGATGATCTAAATATAAAGTTCTACAGTGAACTGGGCTGAGCCTCAGATCTTTACATGCCCAGTCAACGTATCTTTCCATTTGTACTACTATAGAGTGTAGAAGGAAAAATGGTTTCTCTCCTTGTAAATTTCCACCAGGTGCATGATGGGTAATACTCTCAAAACTCTAGTTGCAGTCTTGCAAATCATGACACTGCAAGATCCCCAGTCTTTGCAAAATCATAGTCAGTGACTAAAACCTCTGTGATTGTCTTTAGGTGTGAGAGGGTGTCAGACTTCAGTCTTTTAAAACTCTTTCAAAGTCTGTTTAAAGTCTTCTAGTGTGTGGTTCACATTAGGCTGTGAGTAGAATTTGGAAAAAGGGGACAGAGCTGATCCTTTGAGCCAGACGAGCATGAGTGCCTTTACAAAGAAAGGTAATTAATTTAAAATTAAACTGTTTAAGAATATATTAACATCAGAGGAAGTCACTAAGTTTGAGTAAACTTCAAACTTTCAGATACCTGATAAATTCCTGACTCATTTTCCATAATTCCTTGTTACGCAGCGTCATGACGCATCATTTATACACCTGATTATTATTTAAGTATTGGAGTTTTTTCTGTTCCTGTCCTTGATTTAACAGTCAGAATGATGTGTGTGGTTAGTTTTCACAATGTCCTTAGTGTTTTCATCTCCTGATATTTAAACTGGAAAATGTCCTGACTGCACTGTGAAAGTTCAGACCTCTTAAAGACGGTAGATAATAAAATATCAACTGATGAACTTAATATATGAACTTTCTGTAACACAGAACTGTTTTCATCTCTAGATCTCTCAGAAAGGTGTGTTCCAATATTGTAGGTTTGTCACGTGTCCTGAGTTTTCACAAAAACAAGTGTGTGTGTGTATGTATGTGTGAGTGTGTGTGAGAGTGTGTATATATATGTGTGTGTGTTTATTTACATTTCTTCAGTCCTGGTTTGATTCTGTTCTCACCTCCATGTTCCACTCTAAACACACACACACAAATAATATATTAATTCAAATGTTCTCACCTTCCTCCCTCTCTCTCTCTCTCTCTCTCTGTCTCTGTCCGTCTATCTCTCTCCCTCTCTTTGTCTCTGTTTTCCATTTGTCCAGTGTAAAATTATACATCTATAAAAACATACATACATAAACATGTAACATATGTACACACACACACAGAGTTAAATAATATATGTATGTGTGATTAACAAAGATTCTGTTTTCATTCTTCTCTCTGTGTGTAACAGCTGTAAACACATGTATCTGATAGTGTAACACATCCTGGTGTCTCTCCTAAACACATCAGTATCAGATCTTCAGTTTGAATCATTTCCTCTTCTAATGATGGATCTCAGTTTAAACTGAACTGTAATAATCTTCTCTGAGATCTTTATTTTTGCTTCATGAGGAGAGAAAATGGTGTCTGTTTCTGTTCTGAGCTGCACTGATTACAGAGTCGTTCTTCTGTGGACCTTCTATGGGTTTTCAAGACCGATACCAATTATTAGTAATCAGGGACCCTGATAACTGATACTTGGAGCTGATATATATTTACCATGAATTTGATGTTTGTAGTGTGAAAATATGCGAACGAAACTCAATTTACATTAAATGAATATTAGAAAGTTATAAAATTAAAGTGATCTGAGCTTTACAGTTCTGATCTTTACATATCTGAACAGTGCAGTTTGTAAAAAACAGTAACAAAAAATTTTAAAGTATCTTTAAACATAAAATAAATAACAAATGGCTCTCAGTGATTTTCACATCCTGTGATGTTTGTAAAAAAAAAGTGAGCCTAACAACTTTAAACTGAATAAACTATACAAAAATGTTTACACAGGTTTTAACATGTTAACAGAGACAGTGTTGAAAGGGTCACATCAGGAGAGGAGAGTATTCAGTATGAGTCTGAGAGAAAGTCTAGATACAGACTAAAGACTGTATAAAGCCTAAACTAACCAAATACACAGAACTGTAACTGTATTACAGTAAAAATATTACAGTGAACATCTGATGTGATGAGATCTCTATTCCAGATCATAGGAAATTTCCCCATCTAGCACTGGATTAAATAATTTTAGGATGGGCAGTTTAATTTAGCTCTACTGTGTTTTAATATCTCAGTGTTGATATTGTCAGTTCTACATGCTTTACCATTTTTAAGAACTGTGAGTTGTTTGTGGTATTCCACCACAATATCAACACTGATCACCATAATATCAACATTGACCACCACAATATCAATGCTGATCACCACAATATCAACACTGACCGCCACAATATCAACACTGACCACCACAATAACACTGACCACCACAATAACAACATTGAAAACCACAATAACACTGACCACCACAATATCAACACTGACCAACACAATAACACTGACCACCACAATATCAACATTGAAAACCACAATAACACTGATCACCACAATATCAACACAGATCACCACAATATAAACAGTGACCACCACAATATAAACAGTGACCACCACAATATAAACACAGATTGCCACAATATCAACACTGACCACCACAATATCAACACTGATCACCACAATATAAACACTGACCAACATGATATACACAGATTGCCACAATATAAACACTGAGCACCACAATATAAACACTGACTAACATGATATAAACACAGATTGCCACAATATAAACACTGACCACCACAATATAAACAATGACCAACACGATATCAACACTGACCACCACAATATAAACAATGACCACTACACAGAGATGAAACGATATTAGAATTTATCTCGGTTATCAAAATGATCACGATTATCGGTATTATCGCGATATTGTTCAAACGTGTTGAAAAGTAAAATAAATAAATACTGATACACAAACTGAAACTCGTTTCACCAACTTTTATATTAACACAAATAGACTTGGCAGCAATATGCACTTTTTGTTTGCATAAACATTAAAAGAAATAGTCAATACATTTGTAGTATTACTTTTGTATTACTTACAATACTTGTAATACTCTGTAAACAAAAGAATAGCAAAAGTATTATTACTGTTATTATTACTACTACTGTTATAACTATTATTACTGTTGTAATTATTTTATTGTTATTATTATTGTTATTATTAATTACAATAGGGATTTCCCAGCATAGAGAATTAAATCTCGACCAACTCTGAGGTGGGTCTTAATGGAAAATTACTACTTCTAAGAAGTGTTGCCCTATGTAGGGGACATGATTTGAGACAGTGTTATTCTCTTCTCAGACAGTAAACACTGCAAGCAAGATGAGAAAGGGGAGCTGTGCAGATTGAACTTCTGCAGCGTCTCGTTCCAGAGCTTGTGTGACTTAACTCAGAGCTCATTTTGGAGACTCCACAGAAATATTTAAAAAGCTTTAGTTTCGATTGACAGTTGATTCACCGATTGTTTGACGCTAAAAGCTTCTTTTTATATTATTAACGAACCATAAGCATAAGTTAAACCACACAGACCATGACATTTCTTCTAGTTCGAAGTCCCCACAGACTTCACAGACAGTTAAAGTTAACCTTGCATTCTTGCAAGTAGCGGGTGGTGGTCGCGAAGATGACTCGTAAGGTTGGATGTGTTGCCCCCTTTCGCAGCTATTTTCTTTCGGCATGTTCTGCAGACAGGGTGGTCATCTGCAGACAGGGTAGTCATCTTCAATTAACTTTCCTTCTGCATTCTTATAAAACCCAAAATATGACCCGAAATATGGTCTTCTTAGAAGGCTGAAATATCTCCGAATCTCTGTCACTACATTCCGCCATGTTCTACCTTCTCTCCCTCTCTCTCCCCCTCCCGCTCTACACACACACACACACACAGGGCTGCATCTGAGAGAATGATTCTGCCTTTGTTTGACTCTGTACAGCGAGTTTTTCACACCGTAGTAATCGACCACGGTTTTAACAATACTTTAAAGTTTAAACGGTACTACTAACCGTCATTAATTTTACCGCGGTTTACTATGAAACCGGTAACCGTTTCATCTCTCCTCATTTAAACACTGACCGCCACAATATAAACACAGATCGCCACAATATAAAACACTGACCACCACAATTTAAACAATGACCAACACAATATCAAAACTGACCGCCACAATATCAACACAGATCACCACAATATCAACACTGACCACCACAATTTCAACATTGAAAACCACAATAACACTGACCACCACAATATCAACAGTGACCACCACAATATCAACAGTGACCACCACATATTGATTTTCTTTTTTTACTATTTATAATGACAAAAATATTATTATTTCTTATAATCTTATATGTGGAATCATCTCCCGACCTCTGTTTGGGTCTCAGACACACTCTCTACATTTAAAACTAGACTCTAAATGTCTGCCTGATTCGCCACATGGGAGCCACCAGAGCTGCTAGAGTCACCAGATCTCTGTTGGCTGATCTGCACCGTTTTGACCACCATGGAGCTTCTCGCTGTACAAAGCTGTGCAAACCTCACCTGCATGTACTGACCCTCCTGCTGCTGCTGCTGCATAAACTATCAAATTAACCATTGCTCCACCTGTTTTTCCCCGTTTTGTATTACAATATTTCATACTAACGCTGTTTGCTAGGGCAAGGATGCAGAGGAGGATGGGTCCCCCTTTTGAGTCGTGGTTCCTCTCAAGGATTCTTCCTCTTGCTCTTAGGGAGTTTGTTCTTGCCACTGTTGCCATTGGTGATGCTCATGGGGGCTCAGATCCGGATTTTTCTGTAAAGCTGCTTTGTGACAACACCTGTTGTAAAAAGCGCTAAATAAATAAACTTTGACTTGACTTATTTCATTGTAGAACTGCACTGTGTTGCTTCGCTCAGCACCGCTCTCTCTCAATTTCTCTCTGAATCTGTCTCTCTTTCTCTGTGACTCTCTCTGACTCTCTCTGACTCTATCTCTCTGATTCTCTTTCTTTATTTCTCTATCTCACGCTCTCTGACTTTTTCTGAGTAAGAGAGACAGACAGAGAGAGTCAGACACATCTGACTTTCAGTTAGTCTGGAATATCCAAGCCTTGAGCTCTGTGTTTAGCTTGAAAATCTTAAATGATGATTTTCAAAACTGTATCGAAGACACTGACATCATACAGGAGACGTGGTGCAGCGCTGACTGTTACTCACTGTTCCAGAGATACATAGAAACTACAGCACCATTCCAAAAGCTGAGCACAGTATGCCAAGGCAGATGCACAGGAGGACTGATTATAGAAACATAGTCACTTCACAAGGACTTGTTCCTCTCCGCTATATAAACCCCCCTCAGAGCCCCCCCCCCACTACTCTGAACACAAATTCTCTGAGTTGGAGAGAGAGGCTTGTTGTTTCCAGGCCCAGGGAAAAGTACTGGTCTGTGGTGATCTGAACACCAGAACAGGGACATAACCGAACTTTACATACACAAACAGGTCGTTTTACAAGAAAGAAAAGATCTTTGATTAATAACAATCATCTTTATCCCCACAGAAACAATCATGACAGAACAGACAGAAACAGAGAGGAATTTCCGCAGCTCTGTCAGAGTCTGGGTCTGTATATTGTCAGTGGTAGGACACGAGGGGGCTCTTTAGGAAGATACACGTTTTGCTCATCTCTCGGGAAAAACACAGTAGACTATACGATAACAGATTTAGAACCTTTCTGTCTCAGTACATTTACTGTTAAAGCTCTAACCCCTCTGTCTGACCACAGCCAAATTACTGTGTTCATTAAAAGGATAGAGACCAACAGCACTGAACACACAGCCCAGTGAGCTGTGCAGCATCAGATCATACAGATGGACGTAAAGACAGCTTTCTGGACACCCCACACACTCACAGTAATGAATGAGTCAATCTGGCAGTAAAGAATCTAAATATGATCTTTGACAAAACTGCCCAGAAATGGCTAAACTGAAAATTAGGAAAACATCAAAACCTACAATCAAAAAGAAGAAAATTGGTTTGATCAAG